AAGTATTTATAATCTAGTTCGAACATATTTTGATAACAATTTTAAAGTTTTTGCGATTATCTAGATAGGAAGCTAAAAACATTTTATAAAATACAAATATCAAACATAAACTTTTATGTACAAAATATTTAGCAGTTGATAGAATTTGAATTTGAAATTCCTTGGATATTTGGATAAACGTTGGCTCAGTGGGTGGTTGATGGTGGTGGTGGTGCTGGTGGTTTAACAAGTGGGCAGCGCTGGCACCGTCAATTTGTTGGCCAGTTGAACGTTGCGTGGACTGATGGGAGGCGTGGAGTGGGTTTGGGTCTGGGATGGGGATTGCGATTGGGATTGCGATTGGGTGAGCTGCAGCTGCAGCTGCTCGCTGGAGGCCTGCTTCATGGCAGTGACGATGGGCTCGCCGCGATGCAGGGCCTGCACCGAAATGCTAATGGGCAGCCGCGGTCCATACGAGCGGCGGCCAAAGGTGCGGCCGATGGCATGCAAGCTGGCCGAACTCTCGATCTCGGACTTGGTGCGGGCAAAGCGACGCGAGCAATTGCTATCGAGCAAATTGGGAGCTGCTCTCAAGCGGGAGCAGCTTGTGGCAGTGTAGGTGTTCCCGTTGTTGGTGTTGCTGATGTTGCGCAGACTGCGCCACTTGCGCTCGCCCATGACTGGAGCCGTGGCCGGCGCACTGAGTGGCTCCTGTTTCTCGAGCAGATTATCGGCTGCCTGATTGGCATAGTTTTTGATCAGTATCTTGAACTTCTTATCCGTGACCTCCGCCTGCTGATTGGCGAAGCGTGGTCCGCAGCTGCGTTGCCGCTTCGGCTGCAGAGCGGTGCTGGCAGCTGCCTCGGCGCCAACTCCTGCGCCCATGGTGCCGTTGCGCTTCTGGGTGACGCTTAAGAGCTGCGTAATGGAGCGACCCGCTTGCTTCAGCAAATACGGACAGGGTGTACCAATGCCAACTGCAGCTGTTGCTGGTGTAGATGTTGTTGCAGTTGTTGTTGCTGTTGTTGTTGTTGTTGGGGGTTTGAGTGTCGAGGCATTCGAATTGCTTGCTGGCTGAGTGCTGCTAATGCTGCTGCGACTGCTGCTCAACGGCTCCACCATATACTTCTCCATATACTCCGTGGCATTGAAGGTGGGCATGGCACGATGGATGCGCGACAATGTGGCAGCTGGCACAATGGCGGAACGTTGGCGAAAGACGCTGCTGGTGGCCAGACTGCGCTCCTTGCGCTGCTGCTGATAGTAGTAGTGGCCATGGCCATGGCTCACCTTGTGCAGCAGCTGCTTGCCCTTCACGAACAGATTCAGGCCCATGTAGGCGGGCGTGGGCGGCACCACCTGGCGGTAGGCGAGCTCAAAGTTGCCCATATCCGCCTTTGGATCCACTCGACGATCGATGACAACTGAAAGTATAACAGAAATTTAAGAGCGATCTAAGTTATCCATTTCCTTTTTACACTATCCCAGAAAGTATGTATCTCCCAAAGTCTCTAATCCTTCAG